CAGGCTTTTTATAAGTCTGCGCCTAAGCTGACTACGCTCTTCATCATGCTCAGAGTCAGGTGGGATGCGTTTTCGAGCATCCATCAGTTCGGTGGATGCGGCTGAAATCCACGGCTTCATCCTAGCCTCATGGTTTACCTTACTAGCAGATATCACTGCTGTTTCCACAGCCTTCTTGATATCATACCAACCTGCTTCTGGATGGGAATCGCTTGCATGGTTGCTTAACTCTCTTTCTAGTAGCTCCTGAAATATTTTCTTGGTTTGATTATCATTAAGTAAAACCCTAAGAGGCTTTCTTACGGTGTCTTTCCTACGTCCAGTAAGCCTTAAACAGATACGAGCTCGCACTAGGGCATGATCTGAATCCAAACATGTGCTCCAGAACGAGCGACAGTCTTCTATCGAACCCCTCCATCGGTGGCTGATGGCGATGTGATCTAGTTGAGTCCAACGTTGAGACGACTTTGGAGGTCGCCAGGTCAACAGATGCTTTTCCTTATGCCTAAAGTTGGTGTTTGCTAAGAATAGGCGGTTATCTGAGCACAGTTGCAACAGACGGTCGCCATTATCTGTTCTCTCAGTCGCTACACCATAACATCCACCTAGGTGTCTCTCCTGCTCACTTAGTCTACCTACTTGAGCATTAAAGTCACCAGCCATTATTACTATGTCAGAGCGCTTAACTTTTTGGAGGAGGTCCGAAAGCTTTCTGTAAAACTCATCTTTAACCTCGTCTGCACTGCAGTCAGTGGGGGCATAGGCAGATATGACGAAGAGGCAACGGCGAGTGTCCCTATCCTTCCGAGTCCTTACTGTCCCGTTTAGTCGGACAGCGCACAAACGACTATCTACTGGGATCCAGTCTAGGAGAGATAATTCTGCCCTAGGACTCAACGCTATGCCTACACCAGCAAGACCCCTGGAAGCAGCATCAGGGCTACCGGATACCCGAAGAGTAAATCGAGCTGCTTCTTCGTTTTGACAAGGTGGAATCAGGTTAATGACTTTACTAGGATCCTGTATGCGCGTTTCCGAGACGCAGCATACATCGATGGCACGAGTTTCTAAAGTCCTAGCTAATGATGCCTGTTGCCCTATTTGACACAATGTCCGTACATTAAAGGCTCCAATATGTAGTCTAGAACGGGGTTTCAAGAGACCAGGAACGACGTTTCGTGATCTCGCTTCGTCTGCATTAGCGGTGCAGTGAGAAAAGGGAGTGTGAGTAGAGTTAGTTGTAGAGAGAAGAGAGGTATGCTTTGGTGTAGGAAGGATTTGATTTTGACCAATTTGGTCTCGCGTGCTGTTACGGGTATGAGGGCGGTTGTCACTTCCCGGCTGCCCACACCGTGGAAGGTTGTTTCTTGAGGGACCTGAAAAGGAAGATGGATTAGTGTTGGTGCGTGACCGCAGAGCCCAAGGGACAACTGCTTGAGGCCGGTCACGCACGGCCTTTTTATGAAACGTTTTTTGAGGATTAGCTCCGTTCTTAAAGGCCCTTAGTGGGCACCCTTACCCAAGGAGACGGAAATCCGTGAGTTAGGGGGAGTGTGACATTTTTAGGGCCGACCTTTTCTAACCCTTCCTTCCTTTTGAGAAGGCAGCATCGCTGCAGATGCTGGTTGCCCGAGGGAAACACCTTACTGCTGTCACACCCCTCTGCAGTCAGCAGTACGACTTCGCCCTCAGACCTTGGGTAGCTGCTTTTAGTCTCATCGTTCTCCAATCGACCAGCCTGGCATGGTAGGACCTGCAGGAACATGTGTTCCAGCCAGTATAGCTCGGTTGGGTCATCACGATAGGCAAGCCCGACCACCACGTCAAGGTAGCAGCTTCGGTCGGGTTTTAGTCTCATCGTTCTCCAATCGACCTGCCTGGCATGGTAGAACCTTGAGGAACATATGTTCCAGCCAGTATAGCTCGGTTGGGTCATCACGATAGGCAAGCCCGACCACCACGTCAAGGTAGCAGCTACGGTCGGGGCATCCTAGCGGGTATCCTGGGGATCGCAAATTACTTTGATGATATCTTAATTGTCAGCACTTCGTCAGAACTACAAGAACAGACGACAACCTTGCTACAACGCTTCCGGCTACATTTGGAAAAGTGCCAATTTTTCTTGAGATCGGTAAAGTACTTGGGATTTATCATTGACGTGAAACAACCTTACCATCTTCGAGATTAGTTCTGCGTCGTATATCAATATTTGATGTTTGGAGAGAGTGGTTGTGCCGAAATCTTTACAACCGTGAGTGATGAAGCAGTCTCATATTGGTTATCCTGGAGTAAAACGAATGAAGTCCATAGCCCAGAGTTTTTCATATTGGCCGCTCATGGTCTAGTACATCAAGGAATCGTTAGGCAGATGCTCTCAGTGTTTATATATATATATATATATATATATATATATATATATACTGATTGGCTAATTTCCTACCCAATCAGCGCCTGATCGAATCTTGGAGAACAGGGTAGAGGATTCTCGTACTGTTAGCTGCGTGCTGATTGGTTAAATCTAATCCAGTCGATCACGTGAATTTCTATCCAGAAGCTTCTCATGTAAATGCTATAAATAAACTAACGTTGTATCTATTTGGCCTTCGCCATCACCTTTGGCTTCGTATTTCCATTTAACCTTGCTATTTGGAATATAATCTTTTCCTGTTCAACCGTGTTTTTGATTCTTGGGAACTTGTCCAGTGTATTGTGGTCAGAGAATACTAAGCAATAGGATTTAGCTGGGAATTATCTAAGCAGGCATTACAACATATATATATATATATATATATATATATATATATATATATATATATATATATATATATATATATATATATATATATATATATATAGGTCGCACTCGATTTCTTCTATTTAATTGTCGATATTCGATCGATAATAGTTTGTTGAACAAATAATAATCAACAAAAATCGACCGATCAATATTAGTTTAAACAAAAAAACTTCAATAATTTCTAATAATTAGTTTTTGAATATTTAGGCATGAGATTCATGTGAATGAATGTTTTTTTCTGTTGAGTAGCCATTTCGGTGTTACAGATCAATATTAAGTTTTGATTGCTATTGGTGTTAGTAGTGGTGTGTTGGTGGGAGTGGGGAAGAGAGTATGAATTCACTTGTAAAATTGCACTTTTATTCTCTTTAAATAAAAAGAGGGTAAGGAAGATAAGTGATGATAGTAATTAGGTTCTTGTTAATTTAAATCTTACTTTTTCACTTATCATAAAAAGTCGATTAGCGGTTATCTATATTAAGTAGCTGTGTCGATAATGCTTTAGGCATTTGAAACGAACGCTGCAGAATTTGAGTCCAAATGTGAACATCAACACTGGAATGCAAGTGTACATCTGAATGACGAGTACCGACAATGAGTGAAAAGTATGTCATGAAATCCACTGCTAGTTATAGCCCAATCATTCTAATAAGTTGAATTGGAATCTGGAAGCGATTGAAGTTAGACCACAATTGAAAACCTGGTGACACTGGACGGTGTTTCGTCTTAATATGAGACTCTTCTGCAGTGTGCATCGACAAATGTACAAACAGGAATCGAACCTACTACCTCCAGTCTAGCATACGAATGCCTAACCTCTAGACCATTGAATCGGCATTCAACGGGTGTTAATATTCTAATCTCAATAATAGTTAATCTTTGCTTAGGGAGTAAGATATGCAACATGAACAGGTGAATAGGTTATAAAGTTCATGTAGGGCAACATTATCTTTTAAAGTCATGAAACAGTAATATTATGTATAGAAGAATACAGCCATCTAATTCTGATATAATGAAAATTTCCAGTTTAGATGGAGGATTTTGACAAAGTTTCTTTATTCCCTAAAGTTGAATGGTTTAATCATAAAGTTTTCCTTATCCTAATAGAGAAAATTCTCACTAAAAAAGATGTTCCACATAGAAATGATCTATCTGAACTTCTGCACAAATAACAGACCATTTTTTCGTGTTGATGATGTTATCTTGAAGTTAGAATAAAAGCTTCACAAAAAACGGGAAGAATTCAGTAGGTTTAAGAAAATATGAAAGACCATTTTCAACTAAACATACCCATCAACAATCCATCAACACGTCCTTAATATTATTGACTATAAATTGTCTGGTTGAGAATTACAATCAGTAATATTTATAAAAATTAAAAATAGTACACAATTGTTGCCTGGCTCTTCTTCTATCGCATACGCGACAACGAATGCAAGAGAAGACGACCAGTTGTAGCAGCAGCCTCTGCAGCAGTAGGTCTCAACATACATAAAGGAAAAAGCAAGATTCTCCGATACAACACAACATGCTCCAACCAAACCACTCTTAATGGAGATGTCTGGGATACCTGTGCAGCAACACTGACGAGCAAGGTGGATCCGATGCATATGTAAAGGCAAGGATTGGCAAAGCAAGAACTGCATTTCTACAACTGAGCAACGTTTGGAACTCAAAACAACTATCAACCAACACCAAAATCTGATTTTCTAATACAAATGTCAAGACAGTTCTACTATAGGGAGCGGAAACTTGGAGAACCACGAAAGCCATCATCCAGAAGATAAAGGTATTCATGAACAGTTGTCTACTCAAAATACTTCATATCCATTGGACAGAGACCATCAGCAACAACCTACTGTGGGAGAAAACAAACCAGATTCCAGTGGAGGAGGAAATTAGGAAGAAGCAGTAGAAGCGGATAGGGCACACTGCGGAAAGCACAGAACTGCGTCAAAAGACAAGTCCTCACTTGGAATCCGCAAGGCCAAAAAAAAAGAGGAAGGCCAAGAAACACATTACGCCGAGAAATAGAGAAAGATATGAGAAGAATGAACAAAAATTGGACAGAACTGGAAAGGGAAGCCTAGGACAGAGTAAGTTGGAGAATACTGGCCGGTGGCCTATGTTTCATTGGGAGTGACAGGCGTAAGTAAGTAAGTACACACAATTCAAGAAAATCGGCACAAAAAACACAACTTACTAATTTCATCAATAATAATTCCATCTTCTACAGAAATATGAATGAATAAATTTGTCCAACGGTCATAAACAGATAGTTTTCTAGAAGAAAAGCGAAAAAGGAAAGTGAACAAATTTTAATAACACATATATACAAATATTGAATTTGTTGAATAGAACCGTTCTAGAATTACTGCCGGTGACAATCCTAGGTAAAAGAGGAGGGTTAGGAATAAGGTTGGTAATTCCATACTGTAGAGAACAACCTTGCTAAAAAATGCTAACCATAACACAGCATCTAAACTTTACCATGGAAATTGAATGGCTTTCACCGAGTATAGTTGTGATGCTTCATGGTGAAAGCTGTCTCTTAACAAGTCCGGTAGATGCTCTTGTGCTATAGTCATAGCGAAAAAAATGCAAGAGAGGTTGCATCGATACCATTCAACGAAGCACAAAAAGCACTTGTTGGATGTGGATATCATCGATCGAGGATCATCCAAGTCTCCTTCAAAAAAAACAAGGGGGGCATTACAAAGAATAAAGATCAGTTGGACGAGAGATTGTAGTTAATCGTAAAGGAATTCCCAGACAAGGAACTGACCATTTTGAATGGAAACTTGAACGCCAAGGTTGGAATGAACAACACCAGATACGAAGAAATCACGGGATGACATGTACTGATAGAAAGGAACGGAAACGGTGAAAGATTTGAAAATCTTCATGCTTTCGATAAACTGGTTAGGGGGAGGCACCATACCCTCTTATAAAAGCATACAAAAAGCTATCTGTAGGTTCCACCGGACTACACTACACAGAAACAAATCGATCACACTTGCTTCATTAAGAAGTTCAGAAGGTCCATGTGAGAACAAAGAGGGGAAATTATATAGCTTCATACTACCGACTAGTGATGACCAACACTAGATTGAAGTTAAAGAAGAACAGAACGACTGGAGAAACAGCATCACTAGAGTTTAATACAGCCTTCTTTCGATGTACTAACAACCTCAACACATTCGAGATAGCTCTCTCAACAATAAGTTCCAAGCCTTACGAGATCTACCCAAAGAAGAAGAAACTACCATAGAGAACAACTGAAAAAAGGATTGAAGAAGCAGTAACTTGAGAATATGTCATGAGGCTTTGGATCATAAAAAGCACCATCAAAAGGAGTGGATCTCTGCTGATACTCTGAACAAGATTCAAGAAAGGAAGATAAGAAAGAAAGCAATCAATAACAGCAGAACAAGAGCAGAGAAAGTCGAAGTACAGGTCGAATACACAGAAGCAAACAAGTAAATGAAGAGGAGCATTAGAACTGGTAAAAGAAACTATACAGAAGCCCTAGCGATAACAACGGAAAAGGCTATAAGGGGAGGTAATATGAGACAACTTCATGATACAACGAAGCATCCAGCAGGAAAACATGGTAAATCAGAACGACCAGTTGAGAACAAGGTAGCAAATGAATCAGAGATTCAGGAACAGCGGGACAGATGGATAGAGCTCTTTGAAAAGCACCTTAATAGACTAGCTACACTGAATCCATCAGTAATCGATGTAGCACTAAAAGATCTTCTTATGTATATTGGTCAGACACTATGAGCAACAACCTATTCTGGCAGAGAACAAACAAACTTTCAATCGGGGAAGAAATTAGGAAAAATCCCTAAGGGTGGATAGGGAACATCTCGAGGCAACCTCAGCTTGGAATCTTCAAGGAGAAAGGAATAAAGGAAGACCAAAGAACATATTGCGCCGGGAGTTGGATATAGGCATCAAAAGAATGAATAACACTTGGGAAATAATAATAATAAGGAGAGCTCAGGACAGAGTAAGTTCGAAATTGCTGACCAATGTGGCCTTTGTTCCATGAGGAGTAACATGGGTAAGTTATCTGACGTAGGCAGTATGGACTAGGTGTTTGTATAACTCGGCTGGGTCAATGTAACAGTCAAATATGATTAGCAAGTCAAAAAGGTTATGGTTCATTTAATAAAAGCTCAAGTTAGTTACTAATGAGCAAAAGACTATGACTTCTTCTTGAATGTTAACTCAATGACTAAAAAATTAACATAATCATTGCCTGTTCTGGAAGTTTAAATTTGAATAGCTTAGTGAAGTTGTTGATGCGTCGTTCCTGTTGAAGAGTTCTACACTAATGTGAAATAGATGACCAATGTTTCGTAGTGTTTTTTTGGTCGGTCATAGAGTAAAACTTCCTTTTGTTTGTATACATCTCACATTGATGCATTCAAAAAAACACAAGATATGTATGCACTTACTTAAGTACTTGTGCAACAGTATTTGGACCAAACCAACTTCCAATCGGTTTACCGACTGATACACCTGTTAAGGCTAATAAGAAAGCGAACGGGAAGAAAAAGATAGATGATAATGATGTCAGCTATTTATCATAAAGAGCAGTTTGTTTTACATTTTAAGTAATTATCTTTTAAAGACTGAACAAACATATATTTTGAAACGATGAATCGATCAATGTTAGACCACAATTAGAAACCTGGAAGCACTGGACGGCCGTTTCGTCCTGGTATGGGACTCCTCAGCAGTGCGCCTCCACGACTCCTGCACCCCGCAGGGTTCGAACCCAGGACCTTCGGTATTGTGCACGGATGCCCTAACCGTTAGACCACTGAGCCGGTATGTAACGGTGTTATATCTAACTTGATCAAATTCACGGAGTTGCTCAACCTCATACACAGTCTTCGGTAGTTACTGTCTACACCCGAACAGGTTGAACTTCACTGGTCACGTCTTCCCACTAGAACTCAGAGAAGACTCCTCACGAAGCTAGTCACTAGTGAGCACAGGTAATTTGCATTACGGGGTTGTGAAGATTGTTAAGTTACACATTTTTTGAAACCATGAATCGATCAATGTTGGTCCAAATAGTAAGTACGGATCATCATGAGTAAAGATTGAGTTGATAATTTCAAATAAATTAAGTATTGGGTAGTAATAACGACATATTTGTAAAATCCAAACTCAACTTTAAAACTCTAATTTAATGTCAGTTATTTAGTTACGCTGAAGAAGCAACTTAAATTAAGTCGGGAAATGTCAAAGATTTTTATCTCTACTCATTAGTCTAAAGTACAGTTTTTTAGCACCTAAAAGCAACAAAGTTTCTATTTGTAATTATCAAGTAAATGTCATTAAGATATCTCGGTTTAGTTACTCTTAGTTCTTTTCTGACTTTCACACTAGCTAACAAGTACCATCGGCATAAGGAGTTGTTGGGGATACGTAACAAATTTCCTAACCATCTCATTAGATGAAAATTCATAACCTTAAAAATCAATTCCCCATATTTGTCTGGTTTCGTAGCCTCAACTACAATATTGTTCACTTGGTTGTTTCATGACTAACGGCTGCTGTTCTATGCTCAAAATTCTGTCAGTAACACATATTTTTACCTTCATGGGCCATGTTTTACAACCACAGAGTAGATTACCACGTAATATGCTCTAATTTAAGCTGAAAAACCTGCATACGCAGAAGGTAATTTAATTTTACAAAAGCCCAAGGAGCTCTCTATATTCATACAGAAATGATCTATATAGACAATTATGTAGATCAGCCGTGAAGTAACATTGACATTTAGAGGAAGATAAACAAACTGCAAAGATACTTTCATTATCGCTCAGGATAAATAAGACAGGATTTCGTAAATCTTCACCAAGTAGGACTATGTCTTTTTTTACCTTAAAAAAGTGAACCTCTCGGTAGGAGATCAACCCTTGAAAAGTGGGGTTTCTAGGAAAACATCCATAACGAAATGAGATAGAAACG